ACACACACACACACACACACACACACACACACACACAATCCTTGTTAGAAAGAAATCATTGCTCTGGATGTGACATGAGTGATGAGAGGGGTTGTTTACAGACGCAGGCTGTAGTAACGGACCTCGTCACCGTACAAGTCCCTACAGCTCCAGTTTTATTCAGAAACACATTTATGCGAAAACCTGTACTTCAGGTGGCTTTGCTCCAAACTTTGGTCAGGACCTGCACTATTCATTTTACAAAGTCATGCAAAAGAAATGATTAAGATTTTCTCAGGCTCTCCCATAATGAGGCCTACTGTTTGAGCTGAGAGCCGGAGTCCATGTTTCAGTTTTGTAGTTTGTGAGTCTTTGGAGACCTACAATATCAGCCCACGGATTACAGAATGAACGGAAATTAGAGTGCTCCAGGGACCTTATTCACCGATGTTATCTCAGCTTGTCCATAACTGACTGAAACCTAGAGCACTGATTAATTAATTCCTTCATGTTGTGTTTGCAGATGTCTGTGGTCACATGAACAACAAACCACCCCTAATATTCAGTCATTTTTACTGCTCCCATACGGCAAAAATTAGGAAAGCAGTTTAATGTTACAGTAAATATGAGCAGGAGTACAGATGAGTTGTAAATTGACTTAATCGACTAATTTAAGGTTCTTAACAACGGTCGCCCTCGCATTAGAAAGTGGTCAAGACCTAATTTCTCCTCTTGTTGTTTTACCCTACGAAACAATTATTAATCATGTTGCTATTACAACAACTCCACATTTTCCCCAAGGACAACTGGGGTGACCATGCAAGGCAGGGCAGTTATCCATTCCTTCAAAGTTTTTTGCTGCCTTTAGGTGCTGTCAGAAATTTGAAATTCAACGAAGTAACTCAATGAAGTAAGCCTGAGATGTGACATATCACCAGGAATGTACATTTCCAGCTCAGAATAAATCGTGTTTTGTTTAACTACTTAAAAACGTATTTATAGTTTTTTTAGTTACATTTATTCTACTTAAGTGAGCTCGCATGATACATTAAACTACGGAATTTGGCGTGTTATTACATTTTTGAAAAGTACCCTCAAATAATCTGTTCAAGTAAAATTCTAATTCTGCATCTTTAAAAAAAGGAAAAACATGGCACGTATGTGACACATTATATTTTGCAGTCATTTTTCTTACACGTGTGTTTAATTGTTTGTGGGTAATTAATGTAAATATTAACATTCAGTCATTTGAATACACGGGAAGTTGTCTAAGAGTTGTTTGTTTTTCGTGAAGCTAGCTGTTCCGAGCCTGTGCGCAGCACGTGAACGCAGCACCCGTGCAGTGGACGGGGTGTGACGTGGGGAGCCGTCAGGGCTGCCGGAGCGGTGCTGAGCAGTCCGCACTTTGAGGCGAGCAGCGCGGTCCGTACGCCGAGGGCACATCCGAAAAACAACCTCAAACTTCCCGAGACTTTCGCGACGAGGAGAAAAAGACACCCCCCCCCCCCGGAGCCAAAGGAAGAGGACCGGGTCACATGGAAACGCAATGCCGACGGAAAGACGGCGTCGGACTTTACCTTAGTTTCATTCGAGTGAACCGAGATAAATATGCTGACCCCGACGCTGGCCTCGCCGCTGCTGCCGCTGCTGCTGCTGCTCTGCCCGGTTTCTTTTGGCCAGTACTCCAGCGACCAGTGCAGCTGGAAGGGCAGGTGAGGCTCACCGACCCGTTTTTGAACGAATACCGGCCGAACGGGGCTCGTTTTTCTGCCCCTCAGCGTGGCGGTAAACGGGCTGCTGGCGGAAACCCGAATGAGTGACCGAAACTACGGGAATGAGACCGGAGACTAACCCAGACCAGAGGGGCGAAGACTCCCTGTTTTTTTAAAAACCACACAAATTTGTCAAATATGTCGTGTTATTATCGATTAATATCCCCTTACTGTAGCTTGGTATATTATAATACATTTCTGTCATACTTATTTTTTTCTTTCTGTACATTTCAATTCGGTTATTGCTTTTAACTCTCGGTTAATATGTATTGAAACCAAAGGAAAGAGTAACACTTAAAAATTCAAATAAATTCTGTGAAGTCATGAAGTCCAAAGCTGATGGGGTGTGTCTGGAGGTGTTTTCGACTTATTCTGAACCTTCAAGCAGCTTTTAATGAGAAGTTTCGCCTGTCGACAAACATCTGCTGAAATCTGTTTTGCACTTGAGAGCTCTGCCTCAAATTGTGTGGTTTTGCTTTTCATCCACCAGCCCCGGAGGGGGGGTGGGGGGCATACTTTTTAAGCTTTCCACCAATGATCTGTTGTTCATTAGTGAGCCTCTTGACTAATCTTCTTTAATTGCATGCAGAAGTGATGGAGTTAAAAGGGACTTAATTAGAGGCACGTTGAGGAGAGGCTGGTTCTGAGGCTTCTGCTGCATATGCTCCACATGTGCCGTGGCTGGCTTTGGATCCATGGCACATTTGAATTTCAGCATCTCATTTTCAGGAAGCTGGGCGTTTCTCCTCCAGCGTCGAAAAAACCGCCGGCTTGGCACACGCCGCGCGCCGATGGCTCCCTGCCTCCGGCCTTTGCCACAGAACGACTGACAGACACACAGGAGTTTTCAAAACCCTGACCAGGCATTAAGTTGTGGAGGGAGTCGTTCGGTCGGGCTGGCGCCAGAGTCCGAAGTGCTGCCCGGACGAGTCTCTTCCCCTCTCTTTGGTGGCTTGAAAGCAAAGGGGGGAGGTTCAGTGCGTGACCTGCATTTGCACTTGCATGCAGCGGGCCCGGCTACTGTTGCTGTCTGCCCAGAAGCCCCTGTGTCTCCCCATTCATCCCCTTTTCTGCCTCCGAACTCTTCCCGGCGGCAGCCTGCCAGCGGCGCGTCTTGCCAGGGCTCTGGCGGAGCGGAGCGGTGTGGTATGGGGGAGTGTGTTGGAGCTGAGGTCATTTTGGCTGCTCCGGCTCGTGACTGGTCATGCAGCCAGCCTTGCGCGCGGCCTTAATGCTTTATGAGGAATGTGGTCTTATGTCCTTACAGTCTGCCAGAGGTTTAGAACGTGGTCGGTTAATTCCGACTACCAGGAGAGCAGTTGGCCATCTTAAAACCGCCTAATTAATCGAATGATGCTGAATAAGGGAGAACAGCTTCATCTCAACCTCTGTTTTTTTTTGTTTTTTTTCTCCCAGCGGTCTGACTCATGAAGGCCACACCAGGGATGTGGAGCAGGTGTACCTCCGTTGCTCGCAGGGCTCCCTGGAGTGGCTCTATCCCACCGGAGCCATCATCGTCAACCTCCGGCCCAACACGGCGTCCGCCGCCGCCGCCCGCCTCTCCGTCTGCATTAAGCCCTCGGCCGAGTCCAGCGGCACCAACATCTACCTGGACCGCAGCGGGCGGCTGCGGCTGCTGCTGCGCGAGCAGGACCAGGCGCGGGGCCGGGTGCACTGCTTCAGCATACAGGAGGGGGCGCTCTTCATCGAGGCCGTCCCGCGCACGGACATCAGCCGGAGGATTACGGCCTTCCAGTACGAGCTGGTCAACGACAGGCAGAGAGCGGAGACCCAGTCGCTCAGCGGTAAGACGCCTCATGTTGTGACTCCCAATCATCAGCGCGTGGGTGTGAGACCTGTGCTTTTACTTTTGATCGACTTTCTTTGCACTAAATGCAGCCATCTGCTGGTGGACTCCTTTATTGGATTCAAAAAGTAGGAAACCTAACTGTCCCTGCAGCGAGCTGCTTGGTCTAAAGCCAAAGTCAATTCCTCTGCTAGCAGTATTTTGTGTTTTAGTTTTGAAAAAATAGATTTCCTATCAAGCCCTAGCTGAGTTTTAGACTTCTAAGAATCTGAAGCCTCTATAAAACCTTTTGTTTTCAAGAGAAAGTGTAAATATCACCTCTTGGTGCAGTCTCGATCTGGCTTGAAAGCACTCTTCTGCAAGCCTTATTTGTTTCTTTTTTTTTTGTTGATAGATTGTGTATGAAGGGTCACAGCCAAACTCGGGGCCTCCAATGAAAAACAGTGGTGTATTTTCCCGGCCCGTACCTGCCAGCCGTGCACAGCTTCAAGCTGCGCCGCTGTGAAAGCAGCCGTGTTGTTTTTTCCACCTAAAGCTAAATCTGAGCTGAATCGGGCCCACATCTGTTTTTACGGCTCTCTGGCTTCGCATATCCACGTCCTGCGTCACTCTCTGGCACTGCGCGCACAGGCAGAGGGTTAAAGGAGACCAGAGAGGGAGAGAGAGTGCGGTGGTGGTGGCGGGCTCCTCTCTGCAGAGTGACCTGAGGCTGTAATGTGGCCTCACACAGCAGATAGCACGGCCCCATTCACAAAGACGGTGGACTGGTGTCATGAGCTGCCCACTCGGGCGGGATTGATAGCTCTTCTGCTTCTTCTCCTCCTTCACTCACTCTCCTGCCTCTTTGCTCTCCCTTCCTCTTCACTCTGACCCGCTGTGCTGGGATTGAGTTGCTCACCATCACGCTGGAATGCATCTCCAACCAGATGTTGGGAGGAACTTCTAGGAGCATATAGGCTTGTTTTCCCCCACTCTTCCTCTTCTCGCTGTCACTCCCTTAGCCTCCCTCTCAGCTCAGTTAAATTATTCCTCCTTTCCTCTCAACCGGCCTCACTATTTCCTGCTTCGTGATTTCTTTCGTGTCTATTCATCATTTGGGTGTTTTTCCTGTCATTCCTCTCTCCTTCGCATATCTTCCCGCTCTCCTCCTGGTTGTTTGAAGTGGGTTTTTGTCCGTGCTGAGTAGCATTAGCGAGTTGTGCTCCATTACAGCGGAATGCATCTGGGCCCAGATGTTGCAGGGACGCCGTAATGCTCCTCTGCGGCCCCTCCCTCTTTCTTCCATCTCTGCCTCCTTTTAAGTGGTTCTGATCAGAGTGGCACGAGCCAGAGAAAGATGCTGACTCGGCTCTGGGCCCATTCCTGCGGTTCTGTTTCATGTCTGACATGTGGGCCCTGGTTGGCTCTGCTCTGGAGGAAAGCAAACACTTCTTAGCTCTTTGTTTAGGCCTGCGACGGCTCTGCCTGATGCTGTGGCGGCACGGAGGCTCACTTCAAAGCGGGCGTGCTCTGTGCTCCAGGCGAGGTCGGCCCTTCTGAGGCCCTCTGTCCAGCTGTTCTTAAGCCATCCAGCCTTGTGGCTGCTTGACCCCTGATCTGCCCAGTGATCCAGCCACGCCCTGTGTTTCTACTCTAGCTGACCTTAAACATGTTGAGCACTTACTCCTGCTCGCTTTTTGTTTCTTTGGAAAATTATGGTACCGGTTGTTTTTTTTGTTGTTGTTTTTTTTAAGCCTACCCAGCAGGTCAGGTGCTCGCCATGCACACGCTCCTCCTAAATTGACCCTCTTCTTGCTTTGTGGACAGAAAACCACTTGTTATCCTGGTGCAGACTAGTCCCTCTCTGCTCTCCCCACCTTCTCCCGAGGGCCTCTCTGCCACTCAGGAAAACCGCAGCGGGTCGAGGGCTAATAAAGGCATCGGGGCTCGGCCGCCCACAGGACCACCTGAGTCAACTAATTATTGCTCTCATTTAGAGGCCTTTTTCTGCTATAAAACAGTCTGGAGGGGGGTTCACTGGGGTTGCTGCTCTACAGTCACCAGTGAAAGGTGAAGGACTGCCTGAGGGAGTCTGAATTCTCAGCAGAGGGTATTAAAATTTCCATTTTCTACAACAAAGCGTTTACTAATGTAATGAGAGTAATGAGAGCATGCCCCCCCTCATAGACATTTGTAATATGAGACATGTATGAAATTGGCAAACCTTTTCCTGCATTCTGCCTCCCTTCTGAGGGGATTTTCACCTTTCTGGTTATTAGGGCCTGTACTTGATGTTCTAGTTAATATGCGGTCCCAGCGGGCCGGCGGGGCGGCCGGCAGATCTGGGAGTCCTCATCTTACCGCGCTGCTTATCCTTTTCGCCTGGTTCGCATTTGTCACGCAGTGTCAGGGCGTTCCTGTTGTGGTGTGGACGCTGACCCAAAAGCCCCCGTGAGCACTAAACACACACACAGTGTGTGCATACGCTCCTAAGCATCTTTGAGAAGCAAAGCTTCAGTTGCATTTGCCATCGGCCGAGTGCGCAGCCACGTTTGGTTTGAAATTCATAACTCGTGACAGCTGAATCCCGCTCTTCCATTTTAAAACAAATAATCCTCTGTTCGAGTGGAAAACGCTGCGGCCCTATCGCCCGGCTGGTCCGGCCGCAGTGTGTTTGTGTTAGAGGCACTTCATTGGAAACTGTCGACAGTGTTTTCAAAATGTTTCTTGAATGAAAGTGCCAAACAAATCCTACGCTCCTCTGTTTGTTTGAAGGCTTTTCCAGAGTTGGGACTCATCTATTCTTTCTTTTATTTCTCCTCAGCCCCCTGTCAGCCTTGCGGTGATGCCGAGATGCTTCTAGCTGTATGCACAAATGACTTTGGTAAGTTGCAGTGCAGCTGCAAATAGTTATAGGTTTCCTGCCTCGGTATAGTGACACGGAAATCCAATGAAAACAGCACACTGGGCTGCATGAGGCCCGGCTGAATCGGTCCTCTCTGCTGTGTTTTTTCAGTGGCACGAGGCAGAATCAAGAAGGTGGAGCAGGCGGAGGAGCACTCATCCGTCACCGTGGAGATCAGTCGCCTCTACAGACAGAAGACGCAGGTCTTTGCGTCGGGGGGTGTGAGGGTACGGAGCTGGACGGGTCACATCAAGCTGCCCCGTCAGTGTGGGGTGAAAGCCGGGGAAGGAGACTTCCTCTTCACCGGGACTGTGCGGTTCGGGGAGGCCTGGATGGGCTGCGCCCCCCGCTACAAAGACTTCCTGCGGTTGTATCAGGAGGCGCAGCAGCAGGGGACCAACCCCTGCCATGTGGACACGGACTGAGCGGAGGACCTGCCCTCTCAATGCCCTGCTCAATGAGCGAGGGAGGGGGGACGAACTGATAGCTCATGCTGAGGAGAGAGGCTGGCAGACAGGCTGACCCAGTGGCAGACTCATTCCTTTCCTGCTGTCCTGTGAATCCTTTTGGGAGAATGGACAGAGCTCCTGAATGTTGCCAAGCAGCATTCAAGCCGTGCTCCCTTTTCAAAGCTGATACAACATGGAATGTGTTCGGATTGTCCTCTCACACAAGAAGAACTGCAATGTTTGAAATGTAGCAACACCCCATCTGATTTTCATATGTATAAAATGTGAATGAATATTGTACATTTTGAAGCTCTGTGTGTTTTGTATAAAAAAAAAAGAAAAAGCGTGATGTACAGATCTGAATTAGTTCTTCAGAGAAATGTAAAAATGAAAGCCTCTTATTTTGTTTAAAAAAGTATTTGCAATTTGATGCCTGAATTTAGTTCTTTTTTCTCAGGCTGTACAATTGTAAAATTAAAACAGAGAAAAAAAATCGCCTTTGAATAAAATCTTTTATTCCTTTCCATAATGTCCATGTCTCTAATGTTTACACACTGAACCGAGTGATCACGAGGTATCAGGTTTTAAGGCCCAGCAGATTATTTGTGTGAACACTTTTTACCACAGTAAAAAGAGTCTTTTTTGTGTAAGTTTTTAAATTGTAGACAAAAAATCAATTTATAGAAAAAATGTTTTGAACACTTTTACACAAAATAAGCACATTTCCTGTTTATAGATCGACTGCAGCCTTAAGGACAGCATTCCTCACAGGTCGGGTTGTTTAGCACTAGCAGAGGATTTGGAGCGGCCTCTCCTCCCCACAGCGCTCTCTGCCTGAATGAAAACACTGCCATGCAACATGAATTAGCCCCCTCACCTCATCCCTGAGCAGCAACTGTCTGCCAGAGGTACGGCGAGATTAACATCGGAGTCAGGGTGGATTCCTCCGCTTTGGTTCCTGTGGTGACGGGTGGCCGTGTGTCAAGGTCAATGTGAAAGGCCTCTTTGTTCCCGTGCAGCGGGCCGGTGTGAGCGAGAGGCCTGAGGACAGACCTGAATGCAGCCCAGTGACCGGGCACGCAGCATAAAGTAGCGCTCTCAAACCGCACTCCTAATTTTGATTGGCATGTAAACTGCTGCTCTGGCTTCCTGTTTAAATGAAGGCCTGTCATTTTCATGAGCCCAAATAAAACACAGGAAAAGGCACCAGTGGGGTTACAGAGGTTCGCAGTTGTGCTTTTAAGACGACATCTAGTTTGCAGCCGCAGCCCTTTTTTTTTTTTTTTGTCCGCCTTTTCACTCAAACGGAAATGCACCTAGAATGTCTTTCAGTAAGTTGCCCCAAATAGACAATAACTTTTCCAGACAGAGCAGAGCATTGAATTGACTGTCTGAATTCCAGCTGACAGCCAGACGTCCTGGAATTACTGGGAAATGCAAACAGAGTTTCTATGGCAACGATGCCTCACTGGGAACCTTTTGGTCCTAAGCCTGGCTTTAAGACCGAGAGTCTCAAAGGTGAATGAGTTGGAGGTCTACCCTTAAATTTCTTCCTTTTTTTAAAGCTCTTAATCAGCTCTATTTGAAAAAGTTAGTGAAAAACTTCTAATTGATTTCTGCAGTATTGATGCACTGAGTCACTGGTGCCCTCACACTATATAGCTGATTAAACCTTGTTATCTCTTTTATTATCATGGGCCCTGAGGTGTCTCTGTCAGTTTTTAAATAAGCAAAACAATAAAGCTTTGCCGCATTTTTTGTGCCTTTCTTGGTTCCTTTTAAATTATTTAAAGACACGACTGTACTGGCTATAAGCCACCTCAGACTTCACCGCTCCTTTTAAAAATCTCCACCAGACAATAGCTATTGAAGTTTATATGAATTAAAAATGTGACATATCAAAGGAATTAGATAAATCAAGCATGATCTGCAATAATCTCCAGACTGTTGTCACGAATACTGCATGTTTGATAAAGTCTGACTGGACAGAGCACGGCCCTTCAGAGGAATCTGATTTCATGTCATTGGGGTGTGCCCCTCAGTCTGTTTCACACAAGCAATCAGTTGAAACTTCATAGGTCGGGTCAGATATTATTGCAGTAAAAGATGAGACAACTCAGCCTGAACCAGACATCAGTGTGTGGAGTCTTTGTGCTGCCTGTGTGATTCATCCAGACATCACTGCATGGTCATCTTGTAGAAAAATTTTTTAGAAGTGGGAAAGAAAAAAAGAGCACTGTTAAAAAGTGCAGCCGCTCCAGAGTGTGGTCACTTGGCAAATAGAGGGGCATTTGAGTTAAAGAGCGGCAGAACCCCAGCAGGGAGGGGAGGCCTCAGAGCTTGGTGTGGTGGCTGATATTCCATGCCTCTTTGGGAAGTGCTGGAATGTGGGGAATGTGTTGACTTCACACACATGCATGTGCGGCCCAAATCCCGCTGAACGCCGCTGCCTTGATTAGCTGGAATCAATGGCGTCTCTGTGGTTTTTCTGTGTGTGTAGGTTTGTGTCGGTGTGTGCGTGCGTGCGCTGCGCGTGGCCCAAACCTCAGCGCACATAAACACACCACCCCAGCAGCCAGATAGCCGCCACCCACACCGAGCCACAAGTCAGCGTGCAGCTGCAGTCCCCACACCTCTCATCTCACACATTTCTGCATTACTTTTGTTTTACCCAGAATATTGAAGCCATTTATAGTTGTGTATTTGTCAGGCAAGACTAGAGCATGGGATCCTAAATGGTTTTATTTGTTTAATGAATTATTTCTGTAATTTGCTGTTGGGTTTTTTCTCTGAGGTTCTTGACAACATTTCGACTAAGTTGATCCATACTTGCATGGAGATATGAAACCCATTAGCTTTCTTCTGGAGGGCTTTGGCTGCCCTGCTTTGTGCTTTAAAATGATCACATGATGCTTCATAGTTCTCAGGTCTGAGGCAACATAAGACTCTTTATCCTCCTCAAAGACTCTGGTGTGATTATGACACAGTGGGATTATTGTCAGACTTGGAAAATGTACCTCCACATTTTGTAGTCCCTTTGAGTGATTTTATTTTGCTATCAGCAGATCAGAGAACGTATCGCCAATATTCATTGTGTTCATTTTCGTTTACTCTTGGAATGTTTAATACTCATAATTGTGTGATGAAAAACACCCTCTGAAAAGAGGAAGTTATGTATTTTTTCTGAACAGTCAAACTGCAGTTTTCCCCTCTTCTCACACCACAAAATCTGCTTACTCTCAGCTTCTCACTCATGTCAGTTTGTCAGTTTTCTCAAGAAAGCATTACACATAATTAAGGTCACAACAAAGTTCACAATTTTTCTAATTCATATAGCCTTCGTTAAACATTTAACATGCACTTCCATTTGTGGTCCGATATGAATTTCCATGCATTATGTTTCAGTTTGGGGCGTTTAAGTCATATTGAGATTTGAGGGGCTACAGGCAAATAAAGCACATCTCAAAGTGCTCATGAATCCCCCGTGGGTTATGAGTTTCAGTCGTGAAACGCATTACAGCCGCCTCCTTGGCCCCACCTACCGCAGCAAAGCATGCTGGATTAAGGAATAGAGTGTTGGGTGTCTCTGGCAAAATGCAGTTGTGGGGTCACATCATGTGTCTCGGCGTCTGAATATCAGGTATCAGAGGAATCGCATATTCCGTCTGAGCTAATGTGCAGTGTGCATGAGGTAAACCAGACGTGGTCATCTTCCCATGCTTTGGTGATCAGAATCAGTGAATGGTGGAGGATGATGGGCTTCCAAGACACTCTATATTTATACTGGCGGATACTTTCGGGACGGCGTCCAGTCAGAAAGATATAGTAGCAGTTGCCAAAGTGAAAATAGAGATGTGATGAAACAATAACATGCAGTCAAGCTTTGTCATGGAGATTTTTTCCGCCCGGACTGATGTCTCCATTGCGTCTAATTATTTCTGTTTGTGAATGGTGATTTGACGCTAAAGTCTGCTCCCACAAGACTGCCCTCTTCTCCCCTTTTGTCGTACGCCGTCTCCTCTCCCAGTGAATGAATGAGTGCCGCTGCGGTCTACTCGTTTGGCCCCAGGAGGCGCCGCTGGGAAGCCCGGTTCGCTCAGCAAACACGCCAAAGTCCTCCAGAGTGGGGGGTCCTGCTCCGCGAAGCTTCAGAGAACCCTCCAGTGATCAGCAGCCCAATAGCGGAGCAGACTTTGGCTCGGAGGGCACCAAGCAAACACGCAGCAAATGGCACTTCTATTTGCCTGCCTTCACATCCCCCTCCCCCAACAACCTTCATTTACTGGGATCTGCAGTGGCTTTTCCAGCAGCCCCATGGCAACAATAAGCCTTGTCAACAGGGGTGAAACTTTCTCATGATGTCACCTTTATCATGAAGCCCCACCAGTGGATTTATTCTCCCAAACACAACAGCAACACAATTTGTTTTCTTCGGGCATGCAGGCCAACCTTAAACTGGAAAGATGGATCAGATTTAGCTCTCATCAGCAGCAGCGTTGTAAAAATAGGACAGCGCATTATTGAAAGAACCATCACACAAATATTCGCAAATCTAAATAACAAAAGCTCATCCTGTCTCCAACCCTAACTTGGCTTAATCTTGGCAGTGAATGAGCGTGTTGTTGTGTGCTCTATACAACCTGTCATTCATCAACACTCGCCTCTTGTCTGATTGTGACAATGCAATCTGCCCAGGCCCCATTGCTCTCAGGCCTGTCAGACGGATGGTCAGAGAGGCAGATCCGCTGTTTGCACAGTCCAATGAGCACCAGTGGTTTTTTGCTAGCTGAAACTCCTCCTAGGCAACTGGACCAACCCCCCATTTGACCCCTGATCTGGGCCGTGGCCTTTGGATGAGAGGGGGTTGTGGAAAGGTTCCCGTCTAAATTCATCCATTAGACTTTGGAGTGGACAGGGCCATGCCCTCCCGTCTCCGCAGGAAACACGCATCTTTGGGCAATGTGAAGTTGAAAAGT